AGTTGGACTCCAACCCAAGCCCTGTGCACACCGGCAGAACACGTGCCTCAGTCCTGTTCTCCCTCCACCAATAGCACTCCATGTCCTTCCAGCCCAGGGCCTTTGCAGATGTTGTTCCCTCTGCTTGAACTTGATGTTCCCTGCCTTCACACTCCACTTTGGTCTTACTCCTACTCATCCTTCAGATGTCAGCTTTCTTTCTACTTCCCCAGGAAGATCAATCTGTCCCTTCAAAATGTGTCAAGACCTCCTGTGACATATTGTGGGAACCCCTGTATTTTTTGTCGACAAAACTTACCCATTTTATACATATACATGTTTGTGTGATTCTTTGATCCATTTCCCCTTTACAGATTCATGCCTGGTTATATTCCCTATATATTTAATCAATTTTTCCTTTTCCTGGGGAAAAAGATGAAAATAAATTATGACTTAACTATTGTTCTCTAGTGAGTCACGCCAAGATCTGCCTGTACCTTTTTTTAGAAAAATAAGTTTCACATTACTGAAGCAAATGGAATGTGAAACGCTTGCAAAGTTCCTGTGAGAAATCTCTGTTCAAAAATTGTGCCAGCTTGCTGCTTAATGATATTATTATCCTCAAAAGCAGAGGGACTTGACAGCTGTACCCACCCCAAAGATGCAGGGCATCAAGACTGGACCTCACTCACTGCAGCTAACTCTCCCTGAAGGTGTCAGAGGACTTCCTGCTCTTTTTTTTTTGAGACAGAGTTTCTCTCTTGCTGCCCAGGCTGGAGTGCAATAGTATGACCTCAGCTCACTGCAACCTCCGCCTCCTGGGTTCAAGTAATTCTCCTGCCTCAGCCTCCCAAGTAGCTGAGATTACAGGTAACTGCCACTGACCTCAGGTGATCCACCAGCCTCAGCCTCCCCTCCCACCTCCTGCCCTTTGAAGCTGTCACCCACTTGTGTGCAAAACTTTCTCTGTCCACCTGTCAGAAAGGACAGCAAGGACAAAGAGACAGATCTACTCTGACATACGAGAGAAAAGCAGGCAAAGAATTCTCATAATCAAAGGGCTGAAACCAGACAGTATTCAGATGCTAAGTGACAGAGCTCTAAGTAAAGCAAGAAGAGCGAGTAAAGGAACTTGGCTGGTCAGATTTGAAGTGTCTTATTGTCCTGTTGTTAATGTTTATCTGATTTTTAAAAACTAAAGTAAGGCTTGGCCTAGAGAAAGCCCCTTTCTTGCTAAGTAGGTAAAACCAGAAGACTAACTCCATGAGAAGAGATAACATGTCACCAGAATGGAACTGATACATGGCAGTGCTCAATAAATATTGTTAAATGAATGAATGAGCAAATGATCCAGAGGCACTTATCAATAACACCTGCTGAATCCTGCTAGATGAAAGAATCACTTCTTTTTTTTTTTTTTTGAGACAGAGTTTCACTCTCGTTGCCCAGGCTAGAGTTCAATGGCGCGATCTCGGCTCACTGCAACCTCCTCCTCCTCCTGGGTTCAAGTGATTCTCCTGCCTCAGCTCCCAAGTATCTGGGATTACAGGCATGCACCACCATGCCCAGCTAATTTTTGTGTGTGTGTTTTTTTTTTTTTTTTTTTTTTTTTTTTAGTAGAGACTGGTTTTCACCATGGTGGCCAGGCTGGTCTCAAACTCCTGACCTCAGGTGATCCCCTGCTTCGGCCTCCCAAAGTGCTGGGATTGCAGGCATGAGCCACCGTGCCTGGCAGAATCACTTCCTAGTGATCACCTAGCACATTAATGCCTCAAGGACAGAATTCCTTCAAAATCTATGACTCAGCTAGACATTGTCACATTTCTTTAGCCTGAGTTCCTCTTACCTAGTGTCTTTCTTTAAACATCACCTATCCTATAGCCACACAGAGCTGAAGTCTGCTGGGCTTTGAAGACCCCTTGGTTTAGGAGTAAAGGAATATAGAAGCAGAGGAGGTCCCTGCTTAGAGGTCTGGTTTGCTTTCCCAGGCTTCCCCTTGGCCATGGGCAGGGCAGGGACAGTGAGGGCATCTAGAGAGAATGGTGGGCCACAACCTGCTGGGCTGCTTATTTGCAAGGAAATACTATAACTTCATTCCAACACTCAGTCAGCCATGAGATAAACAGCATAGCTTATAAGCATATAAATAGTATCTTATGTAAACGACACTGTTTTTTAGAAACTACCTACATAACAGTAGATTTAGTGGTATTCAGAGTCCCTATAAATGGACAAATTAAGTAACTTAGCTAGGCATGCATACAGCTATCCAACGCAGTGTAAGCTCATATATATTCACACACAGGCCATGTTCACATGAGCCACCTAAGCCTGCACGAACACTAAATACAAGCCGTGTCTTAGACTGCAATGCATGACAGCTTTCATAAGAGCAACCTGTTTTCATGAATCCAGAGCTGAATGTTTTCATATGAGATTTGAAAAACATTAGTTTAGACATTTTCAGGTTATTAGAGTAAAAAAAAACTATCAGAGACTTTTACAAAACCATATTTCAGAAATAGCTAAGCATCAGAATTCATAACCTTATTTTAGAAATTCTATTTGCATAATTCTTGGGAAGATACAATATCAATTCATTCTAACACTGGGGAGTGTCTTGCAAAGAGGCCATCTAACTTGGCAACGTTTAGTCTCTGGGTGAGAGCTATAACTTGTGCTGACTGCAGCACACATATGTGACAAACAGGACACCGAAGCCCTGGGCACAGTTTTACAAGAGCTGGGTTATTTTTAACTTCAGGAGTTTATTGAGGTAATATTCTCCATTTTTTTCTATGCATATATCCCCCAAATAATGCTTAATTTATCTAGAATGCTACATTTATGACTGACATTTCTGCAGCATAGCAGATGCAGAGCTGAATTTTTTGTTTTTTCAGTAGGAAATAATGCTCCAAAGCCTATTACTGAGACATAACATCACCACTCTATCGTGGCCCATACAAAATGGGTGGAATCAGGCACTGAGGTTTCATTATTAATAAAAAGATTTTTATGAAACAGTAACAATCATGACCACTTACATGCACAGGGCTTTACCCAGTACAGGTCCTGTTTTCACAAGGAATCCTTGAGTTGTTGGGTTACTACTCCTTTGTAACAAAGTTCAACCATTGTCGAAGACAGTGTGGTGATTCCTCAAGGATCTAGAACTAGAAATACCATTTGACCCAGCAATCCCGTTACTGGGTATATACCCAAAAATCATAAAACACTCATTTATAAAGACACATGTACACATATGTTTATTACAGCACTGTTTACAATAGTAAAGATTTGAAATCAACCCAAGTGTCCATCAATGATAGACTGGATAAAGAAAAAGTGTTACATATACACCATGGAATACTATACAGCCATAAAAAGGATGAGTTCATGTCCTTTGCAGGGACATGGATGAAACTGGAAACCATCATTCTCAGCAAATGGACACAAGAACAGAAAACCAGATACCGCATGCTCTCACTCCTAAGTGGGTGTTGAGCAATGAGAACAGATGGACATAGGGAGGGAAACATCACACACCAGGGCCTGTCAGGGGTTGGGGAGCTAGGGGAGGGATGGCAGGGGGTGGGGATTGGGGAGGGCTAACATTAGGAGAAATACCTAATGTAGATGATGGAGGGATGGATGCCACAAACCACCACGGCACGTGTATACCTATGTAATGAACCTGCATGTTCTGCAAATGTACCCCAGAATTTAAAGTATTGTTTAAAAAAATACCTTTCAAAGGGTTTTTAATCTCTCAGAGAAAGCATTTTTTAGAAACAAAAAATAAAATCAAAATTAGGCTTTTAGAAATAAAAAAGAAGGCCGGGTGCGGTGGCTCATGCCTGTAATCCCAGCACTTTGGGAGGCCGAGGCGGGTGGATCCCGAGGTCAAGAGATCGAGACCAGCCCGGTCAACATGGTGAAACCCCGTCTCTACTAAAAATACAAAAAATTAGCTGGGTATAGTGGCACGTGCCTGTAATCCCAGCTACTCAGGAGGCTGAGGCAGGAGAACTGCCTGAACCCAGGAAGTGGAGGTTGCGGTGAGCCGAGATCGCGCCATTGCACTCCAGCCTGGGTAACAAGAGCGAAACTCCGTCTCAAAAAACAAAAAAAGAAGAAAAGAAATAAAAAAGAAAGTGAGGCTTTGAAGATGGACTGTGTGCCCCAACTCCCCAAGCACTCGCTAACCCCTGCTGCCAGGCAGTGGGTGGGTCTTTCCAAAGAAGCAACACCAATTTCCCAAGACTGTCCACCCAGCTCAAGTGGTGTGCAGATTTAACAATCACCTGTACGGACGGAGACTGCCCTACTGGGAGTTTTCCATGTAAAACACAAATCTGTTTATTTATGCTAAGCAAATGAACTTTAATCAAGCCATAGCTCTACTTCCCTCTCCACCACTGTGCACAGAGTCAAAATGCACTGAGAGCCAAACACCTTCCAGGCATAAGGGTACTGACATCACAAGGACAAGATGACTCTGGGCAGGCCCCCTGGCTTTTGCTGTGCAGGAGCTCAGGCAGAGCATCTCCCAAGGCTGTGGCTATCAGGTGAGCACAAGTCCTTTGGTGCTGAGCTTTAGGTAGTGGCATAATTATGACACCCTTAAACTTTGACCTCGGCTGCCTTCTCTCCACTCAAAGCAGCCCTTTGCCTGCTTCCATGGTGAGTGCAATCAACAACGCTATGGAGATCCGAACTACAAGCACGGGATGGTAAGAATGACACACTCCGCTCACCCAGCCCTCCTCCTCTTTCCCTCTCCCTTTCTCTTTATGAATATGTGTGTGTCATGACGGAAATAAAGAAAATCCTTATTTTGCTCCAGAATTTACACAACTCAAGGATAAAAACTCTGTAAGGAAGGAGGTCATAAACATTCTAGAACATAAGGTAACAGACACTGCAAGTTATCCGTAGGCCTCAGGGGATGGTGGCCATCCATGCCTCCCCTCCCTTGAGTCTCTCCCCCACCACCTCTTGACTCTCAGAGGGCCCACCTGGGGTCAGGCCTGATGCACTGGTAAAAGGCAGCCATCCTCCTGTGCGTGCTGTGAGCCTCCGGCTCTCTCATCCTCCTGGAAGCTAGCAGCAGGGAGAAGAGTGGGCCTCCCTGTCCTCTGAGTGACTTAGGGCCCACAGGCCACCACTGGTTGCTGATCACGAGCCCTTGTCTCCATCTCCCACAGAAGCACCCATGGGCCAAAAGGAAGTGGAGTTTCTGCCAAGCCCAGCCCTCTTTTGCCCTGTGAGCTCCTTGGGCGGGCGTACAGGCACACAGCAGAAGAGGCCGTCTAAGAAACGCATGCACTTCCGCCTTCTGCTCCAATCCCTGAAGGCCAGGATGGGGGTGGCCTGGCTCTGCAGGGAGTTTGACTTGCCTCCCTGTGATTGGCATGCCTGCCGAGTTGCTGGGGCTTTGTTGATTGCGCTCACCATGGAAGCAGGCAAAGGGCTATGGCAGGTGAGGCTGCATTCCCCATCTGAGGAAGGGCAGGGCCCAGGAAGAAAGAAGAATGCTGAGAAAATCTGAAACAGCTTCTGAGCCAGACACACCCAGACCCAGGGCTCACCTCTCTCATTCCAGCACCAAAACTACACGGCCCCTCCTGCCCCACCTTGATGTCCACTTGCTATCTCAGTGTGAGGGACCCTGTGGGAGGCATATTCGTCTCTGCCCTGCACATTTGCTCCCCAGTTTGAGTTTTCTTTTTACTTTTCCTTAAGGGCCCATCGTATTACCTTGGGTCCTAGATATGTTTTGTGAACTGCTTTCCTGGGGGGACCTGTTTGCCCCACTCATTGTGGCACTAATGGGATTTCCAGCCCTCCCCACTGGAGCCCACACCTGGCAGGTGCAGGGGCCACACCTTCCCAAAAGAAATCACCTACTGAACCTGCCCAGCTGGCTCCCCAGCCGCCCCACATGACAAAGCCACTTGCCCTGGTGGCTCCTCTCTGTTTACCTGCAGCTGCCCTTCAAAATAATAGACTCTTGCAACCAGCATCACAATGCCACCTGACTCAAGCTCCTCCCAGGTCTGATGGCTGCCAACTGCAACCAGTACAGTCAGCAGTTTCCAGGCAGTATCTGAAGTGTTGACAGAGGGCTCCGGGTGGCAGGTGTGATTCTACATTGCGAAAACTCGGGAACAGGCAGCAGCAAGGGCGACTTCTGAAGATGCTTCTGAAAAAGTTCTAGCTTGCTTTTCTGTTTTCCAAAATGCAACCGTATACAGAATTCTGCTCAAATGGCCTACAATTTAAATAATAAAGCACAAGAAATACATTTGATATGACAGAAGAAAGCAGTGAGTTCAGAGGAGAGCTTGGATGATAATCCCCGAGTGTTGGCCAGGCGTGGTGGCTCACACCTGTAATCCCAGCATTTTGGGAGGCCGAGGAGGGTGGATCACCTGAGGTCAGGAGTTCAAGACCAGCCTGGCCAACATAGTGAAACCCTGTCTCTATTAAAAATACAAAAAATTGACTGGGAGTGGTGGTGGGTGCCTGTAATCCCAACTATTCAGGAGGCTGAGGCAGGAGAATCACTTGAACCCAGGAGATGGAGGATGCAGTGAGCCGAGATCATGCCACTGCACTGCAGCCTGGGCAACAAGAGCAAAACTCCATCTCAAAAAAAAAAAAAAAAATCACTGAGTGTGCTGAAGGTAGTTTATATAGATTTGCCCTTTGTGCAGTTAGAGTTTACAGCCCACTGTGTTCCTGCCAACAACTTGGCCTTCTCCCAGGGAGAGGGCCAACTAGCTGGTGAAGAGTCCCCTGTCTCCTAGGGGGTGGTGCAGGGGCCCATGCAGCAGAATGGATTATTGAAGGAACAGGGACTGGGCCCCAGGGCTGAGGTCTCTAAGGACTGTCCCAGCCAGCAGCACTCTCTGTCCAGTGGCACAAGCTGGCCAAATCCTACAAGGCCCACACTGGCAATTCCACCCCGCTCAGTGGTCTGGACTGTGCATGTAGCCTGCCTCTGCTGCTGGCTTTCTCCTGTGACCTGCCCTCTGTCAGCAGCAGGGTGCCCTCAGGAGCCTCTTCAGAACTCTGTCCCCATGGAAGGCCAGCACGCAGGACATGTCCAGCACAGAGTGGCCCAGTATTCCAACAAGACACCACTCCACACTGAGACAAATCTCCCAAGGGGAGGCAGTGTCACATCGTGTGAATTCCCAGGGATGGAGAGATGTGCTGAAGAGCCGGGGTAGCAAGACACCTGCAGGCCTTGACACCTCTCACTGGCCCCTCCACCACCTCCCAGTGTGCTCTCCACAGCACGGTGCACACATGTTAACTCTGCTCAAATTTAAGGAGCAGAAAATTTCAGGAGTTTTCTTTCTTTGCCCTCCTTTGCTGTGGCAAGGCCATACATTCCCTGAGACATCAGAGAACCAAATGAAAAGGTCAACGACACCCATATGCATCTATTAAAATATCTTGTGCAAGCACATCTAAGGACTTTGTGACAGGACCTCCTTAGGCCCTGAGCTCATTTCATTCAAAGGAAAGGAAATGAATATTTATTAAGCACATTTCAGATCTCATTTAAAGTTCACAACCAGCTATGAGTTAAATGGTCCATTGCTTTTTTTTTTTTTTGCAGGTGAGGAAATAGAGGGTCTGAGCAGCTGAGCCACCAGTCTGAGATGACTGTGGCAGTCATCTCTGGGCCGACCCTGAAATAAAGGCCCATGCCCCTGCAAGTGTGAGCTCTTCCCTGTGATGGCAGCTGCCTCCCAAGAAATCCTAGCCAAGAGTTTGAGTGACCAAGCAAGCTACATCCATTCTGGGCTAGAATCTGGTAGCATGTATCAAAACCTGCTGCTCTAGCAATTTCACTTCTGGGGAATTTGTCCTAAGGAGATAATCCAGCGTTCTTATAACTGTTCCTGGAAACATTCTAAAGGCTCACCAGTAGGAGACATAGGCAGGAGACCAGACATAGCATCAGGACATAACCATATGAGGGATGTTATCCAGTCATTAGAAATCATGATACATGAAAATATTTAATGACATGGGACAATACCCACCATACATTGCAATGGGGGGAAAATCAGCTATGACAGACTTCTAAGAGTATGCAATAGCAAAGTCAGGGGATCAACCTGGTTGTCCATCAACGGATGACTGGATAAAGAAAATATGGTGCATGTACACCATGGAATACTACACAGCCGTATTAAAAAAAAGGAATGTTATCATATCCTTTCTAGCAACTCAGATGGAGCTAGGGCATTACCCTAAGTGAAACAATTAAGAATCAGAAAATCAAATATCAGGTCCGACACAGTGACTCATGCCTGTAATCCCAGCACTTTGGGAGGCCAAGATGGGCAGGTCGCTTGAGGTCAAGAGTTCAAGACCAGCCTGGCTAACATGGCGAAACCCTGTCTCTACTAAAGATACAAAAATTAGCCAGGCGTGGTGGTGCATGCCTATAATCCCAGCTACTAGGGAGGCTGAGGCAAGAGAACTGCTTGAACCTGGGAGGTGGAGGTTGCAGTGAGCCGAGATTGCATCACTTGTACTCCAGTCTGGGTGACAGAGTGAAACCTTGTCTCAGAAAAAAAAGAAAAAAAGAAAAGGAAAGAAAAGCAAATACCACATGTTCTCACTTATAAGTGGGAGCCAGGCAAGAGGTACACATGGGCACAAAGATGGAAACAATAGACACTGGGGATTCCAAAATGGGGAAAGTGGAAAAAGTATTTATTGGGTACAGTGTTCACTGTTTGGGTTGTGGGTACACTAGAAGCCCAAACCTCACCATTATATTATACAATATATCCATACAAAAAACCTGCACTTGTACCCCAACAGTACAAAATTTAAAAACAAATAAAATAAAAGTGAAGATGTATCCCCTCATTTGAAGTACTTGCTCAGCATGGATTCTGCTTCATTAAGCCTGGACTGCAGCCTGAGATGCTTGCATTTCTAACAAGCTCCCAGGTGATGCTGACCATGCTGCCTGTGGACTTTCCTTTGATGAGCATCATGTATGCAAAATGATGCCTGCAGTAAGAACCCGTTTTTGTTTTTTGGAAAGCTGTTAGTGCATAGAATAAGCAAAGGAAAGATCACAAAACAATGCGAACTGACATTATCTCTGGGTTGTGGAAAGATGTGCATTCACACTTCCTAAGTTTTCTGACTTCGCATGCATTTTGTTCACAATTAGAAGAAGCTCCAATAGTTTCTTTTAAAGACAAGCCAGTGTGATGTAAATAGACTGGGATTTAGGGCCCAGGATTTGGAGTTATGTTGCTTCCCCTATCTGAGGCTCAGTTTTCTGACTTGGAAACCTCAAGCGTAAGTGGTTGTGAGAACGGAAGCAGATCCTATGTGTAACTTTCTATGCAGTGCCTAGCACGCAGAAGGAACTCTCGATGTCAGGACCTGCCTTCTCCACTGCTGGGAACAAGATCTCATGTCTATGAGGGGCAGTTTCTGTCATTTTCACAAAGTACTTTAGCGGCAGCTCCCTTGTTTGTCTCCACATCATCTCTGTGACAGAGGCTGGAGGAGAAGCTATCACTGTAGAACTTGAGAGCAATCTACCTGCCCAAGGCAGCCAGGCAAGTCAGCATGGGTGGCCTAGAACCTCTGTCCCCAGAACACGGCTTCCCTTTTAGGCTCCACTACCTCTAATGTACCCATTGCATGACCCATACACAGGGACCACAGTGGCCGAGCTCTGACCCCAGGGGGGGAACAGACCCACTGCCGAACTGCCTGGGACAGGGACACAGAACTGCAGTGTCTCTGGGCCTGCCAGGAAACAGGTTAGAGGATGCCCCACACAATGTGCCACTTAGCCCACCATCCCTCCAAGAGAAACCCTCAGTCACTCATGGGGACATTACAGTGTGCTTTTCCTCATGGAATATTTTGAACGTCTAGTCTGTTGAAATAACTCCACAATTGACTGGGCACGGTGGCTTATGCCTGGAATCCCAGCACTTTGGGAGACCAAGGCAAGCAAATCATCTGAGGTCAGGAGATCGAGACCAGCCTGGTCAACATGGTGAAACCCCATCTCTACTAAAAATACAAAAATTAGTTGGGCATGATGGCACATGCCTATAATCCCAGCTACCCAGGTGGCTGAGGCAAAAAATTGCTTGAACCCCAGAGACTGGGCCACTGCACTCCAGCCTTGGCAACAGAGTGAGACTCTGTCTCAAAAATAAAAGTAAGAAATACTCCACAAGTCTGCTCCTGGTAAGTTCTTTCAGCTACAAAGGCAGTCAACCAATTAAAGT